GAGGGAGACCCCCCCTCCCTACAGGAAGCCACAACCACGTGTCACGGCAGGGAAAATGGCTGCGGATCCTGTTCATCACCCGATGTGGAGTTCGCGAACGGAAGCAAAATTTTGCGAACAGTGCTGTTCGGGACCCGAATGGATCGTGAACAGAAGCGTTCGTGACCCGAGGTACCACTGTATATCCTGCAACTTCACTGAAAGAAACACTTTCAGTACCAAAAAATGTATCATGGGGTGCCGTATTGATCGTGGTTGCCATATTGATTTTTTTGACTCCTCCCCAACAAATGCCCCTGTATCTATTATTCATGCTATCCAAAGTCATAATTTAAAGACAAAAAATATGAGTTTCTTTCTCTATATTTAAACAGAGGAAGACAACTCTTTATTTAAAAAATCACTTGTATTGATTCTTGGAGTAAGTTACAGAGCAGGACTTGTCACAGAATCTAGTTTTTAATTTTTTTTCTTTGACAGATATTCCTGAAGAGTCCAGCGACCTGTTTCTGAAGAACCATGGAAGATGTAAGATAGTACATTCTCCTGGACTAGTGCAACTGTTTTTTTCTTGTCATTCTTAGATTACCAGAATAACCAAAGACATGATGGATAATGAATCTTTTCATTAACTTTTTCTTCATTATCTTTGCACAGCAAGGTGCAGATGGCTGAGTTAGGATTTGAATTTAGTTTTTTCCACACTCAATCCCTCACTCATTAGACCAGGACATCACAATGACCTTCTTAGGTTTTGCAGGCATCTTCTACATCAATGCCTATCAGAAAAAAGGAAACTGAAACATCTAACTGTGCAGTTAGAAAAATAAAGTGGAATATCTAACTATGTACAAATGTTACTTCTTGCCCTTTGTTTTATGATCATTTATGTACTTATATGATACAGACCAAATATGTGAACACAAAGGAGAGGAAAGAGAAAAGGCTGGTGAGGAATCCTGTTCAAGGTAGATCTCATTCAGTTTTGGTCCATAGCTAAAAACTGATGCACCTTGATTCTTGATAGAGGTTCACACCAAAGCCGCTTTCATCACTTGACTCCTGGTAGGCCCATGGTGGCCTTTGGTCCATGTTAGAGGTACACAAAATGCCAGTGTTTCACCATGGGGTCTGTAATAGAAATTGCTAAGAGACTTTGGCTTGTGATAAACTTCACTCATATGGATTCTTTCAAACTAACAGATTTTTGTTATAAATGATTTGATGATAATTATTTGCTTATAAGAATCGATGCACATTTTTTTCCACCCGATATATTTCTTTTTCTTTCAGTTTCTTCAGACGTAGAAAGCAGTGGAGTCTTTGAAACCTTCAGAGGAGGAGGTACTGTAGAAGTCTTCATATACAATTATGAAAACATGCATAAAATGTATTTCAATATACATTAAACATGGGGGGAACCATCAGCCATTTCAGGAAACACCAATCTATGATCATAAACCTCTTTTTCAACCCGCAAATGGTCCTACTGTACTTTTGAATTATGTTCAGACTTGAGGCACATGGCATTTAAGAGACAATTTTTAAAAGGTTTCTGTTTAAAGATAACATCCAGTTTTATCTTTCCATTCCTGAATGTTATATCTCTTGCCAGTCCTACAACTTATCTGATATTCTGGGGTCCCCTCTGAAGTTCTCATCTTTCTTTTGAAGTCTTCCTCTCCTCATTCGCTTCCCTTATTGTAAGGATTAATAAGCAAACACAGGCACAAACATTTCCATAATATAAATCACCTAATAATTTAAATGTTAAACCGTTAAAAGTGGCCAAGATCTCCCAAGTATGCCACCGCTCATGAGCAGTTCCATTTTCTTCAAAAATGCTGAAATCTCATGAGAGTTCACTAGTCTCACACCAGGAGGCTCAAGACCTCAAAGGCGAGATTGACGTAAGTCTTATAACAATCAAATAAAACGAATTTTAAAAAAATTAAAAGGTGAGATCGACAAATCTTGTTAATTTATTATTGTTGATATTATTGTTGATACTATTGTTGTTATTATTACTACTACTACTACTACTATGGGGCACCAAGTACTTGAAAAGGGGTTGCAATCTGTGCCTTATTCACTGACAATATTGCTATCTGGAATTTTGAGAAATAATTTTCCTACCATAAGAACCTTCTTAACTGGCACTTTGCCGATTTCTGAAGAACAAAGTGGTGGAGTGTTTCAGGCTCTTTTTCCCTCTCAGCAAACCTTTTGCTTTTTATATGGCATAATTGTTGGTTGGTTTTCTGATATTTTCCCCCCGTCAACTTGTTTGTAGTTAATATTGTGTCCTACACTGCACGATTTTAATAAAGTGTACTAGTGTTACTTTTTAATTATATCTATTGGATTCTGTTAGGCACTGTTAAATCTTCTATACAGAGGGAAACAGTAGGATAATAAAAAGAAATGATTATCACTTTTATAGTGTCATCAAGGACCACATAGTGCAAAACATATAATAAATAGAAACTAATTTTTCACAGCATTACCTAAGTGGCAAATGTGTTTCAAATATATCTTATTCAAATATAAGGAATTCTTGTATTTAGCAAGAGCTAACCAGGGAAGATTTTGAAATTCCTTCCTTCCTTCCTTCCTTCCTTCCTTCCGACTGCCTGGACAAGCCCCTGTAGTTTTCCTGGCCATTTTTGGAAGTGATAGATGTTTGCTTCAGCTTATTCACATAAGCATTGGGCCTCCATTTTCATCATCTGTAAAAAAAGAAGCAGTAGGAAAAGTATTTGACTGCTTAGGGAGGCATGTTTTGAAACTTTCCTAATCAAGGAAATTATAAAAAGTGTAAACATTGTCTGGTATGGTAACACAAATTTTTCTCTTTTGTGTCGCTTTATAGCAGTAACCCAGAAAGGTGCAACAGTTTCTTTTGGTAATTCCATACCAAGAGGTAAGTTGGTTCCTGTAGTTTGCTCCCAGGGTGAACAGGTCTTCAGTTTGACTCGGAAACTTTTTGCTTAATTTACAGTTATTGGAAATACGTGTCTTACTTTTATCCTGGTCTTTAAAAAGTGTGCAGCTGAAGGTAACCTGGTTTGCTAAGATACCACACACAGTTGCACGCAAAAGACTAAGCACCCCTTCTCAAATTGTATGTTTCAGTGAAACTCTAAGTAAACAGAAGCTGACACTTCTCTACATGGTACAAAGTTAAATGTAACATCAGGTGCAGAAGCTTGAATATTCTTTCAGTCAGTACTTTGTGACACTTCCTTTGGCAGAAATAACAGCTTCCACACATTTCCTGTAGACTGGTAAGAGCATTTACAGTCCCAAGATGTGAATATTATTGAAAATCTGTAGGGAGATCTTGGATGTGCAGTGCCTGCAAGAATATTTCAGAGCTAGAAGAGTTCTGCAAGAAACAGTGGGAAAAATTCCAGAAGCTTGCAGGCACTGCACATCCAAGATCTCCCTACAGATTTTCAACAATATTCACATCTTGGGACTGTAAGTACTTCATGATTTATTTAGAAGTTTGTTCCAGAACATTGTCTTGCTGAAATATCTGATTTCTTTTCAACTGAGTGATTACCTTTTCTAAAGCTTTTACTGATGCCCTACCAAAGGCTGGACTGTGGCATATATCTTGACTGTTGGTTCCTTTACTGTTCATAGTTGAATTCCAAAGGTAGAAGTTATCTACAATGTCAGTGTCTTCATTGTCAGTTCTAAGGCTGGTTGCTGTACCTGTGGCTCCTACTTTAGTTTTCTTTCATCGTAGTCCCAATTTTTCACTGTGCTCCTTACTTTCATTGCTAAAGCTTGCAGATAGATAATTTGCATTTTCAGCTATCAGAGTATGTCATCAACATAGCACAAATCATTGACGTTTCTTCCTCCAATTTTAAAATAATCTTAACTTCTTCCAATCCAGCCTCCTTTAATATATATTTAATTTGTTTGCTTATTGGTTTGCTTATGCCTTCAAGTCAGTGTTGACTCAGTTTTCTTGGCAAGATTTCCAGACTGGCCTAAGGTGACCCATCTGGCTTCATGCCTAAGGTGGAACCATAGCTCACCGTCTCCTGGTTTCTAGCTCAGTGCCTTTAAAAACTAAACCAGACTGGCTCTCATATTCAGTATATAGGTTGAATAAATAAGGAGAGAATATACAGCCTTGTCTCATTCTCTTGCTGACCAGAAGCTAATCTGTTTCACCATGTTCTGCCTGGATTGCGGCTTCCTATTCTGTATGTAGGTTTCATATAAGGATAATGAGATGTTCTGGGATTCCCAATTTCCTAAAGACATTGCCCAGCTTGACATGGTTGACACAGTCAAAGGGCTTTCCACAGTCAACGAAGCATACATTTATTTATATTTGGTATTCTTTGGCTTTCTCAATTATCCAGCCTGCATCAGCAATAATATCTATTGTTATCTGATTTTTTCTAAAACTAGTTTGAACATCTGGCATCTCTCTCTCCATGTCAGGCTCTTATCTGCATTGGTTAATCCTTTTTTTTTTTTGCTAGCAGTAAATTAAGGATATTGTGTAATAGTCTGCACATTCTGTTAAGTCTCCTTTTTTGGTATTGCTATGTAGTTTGACCTTTAGTGTCCAATTCCAGTCCATTTCAATTCACTGATGCTTAAGATGTCAGTGTGGTGTTGATTCATTTCATCTTTCCCAGTGTTGAGCTTTCCCAAGTTCATGCTTCTTATGTTCCATGTTCCCATTAGCTTTGGATTCTCTTTTCCTACAGGGCAACACCTGCAATTAGACATACCAAAGTCTTTAATCCAGCAGTCTCATAAACACCATTAGTACTCCAAAAGATCCTCAGCTCTTCCTCAGTAGCATGTTGAATACCATCTGACCTAAGGGTCCCATCATCCAGCAGTACATCATCAAACACTTTGTACTGTCTATCCATGTGGTTCTTAGTAAAATATAGGCGTAGCTGACTATTGCCAATGAAACGATGCTTTTGCCATTGTCACTAAAGTGATCATCTGCTTCCAGCATCTTCCTATATCATTGCTACCCAACAGAGGTACCTATTTGATTTAGCTGGGATGACTTCCGTGCCTTGGGTGACCTTTCTAGGAGTATATACACACCTTACATCCTTCACTCATTCCTGCCAGGAGTTTCCCCCCAACTCCCCCCATGATAAGGCAGTATAGCAAGACTTGGGGTGGGGTGGGGTGGGGGGAACATGTTTATACTTAAATTAGTATGAGGTTGGATCTCCTATTAAGAAGTAAAGGATTTAATCATGCATCTTTTCCCAGGATTGTCAGCGAGCTATTTTGCTACAATAAGGGCCATGCCTGCTTCATCTGGGATTAACTCCACAGAACCAGAATCCATCCCAGCTTCAGAATTTCCAAGATCAGCAAACAGTGGTAAGTAAAACTCATGTTGCTTTAATAGTTGGAGAAAAGGCAATGCAAACACATGTATGAATGTGTTCCTTAAAAAATGTATTAAAAGGGTACCTCTCCTTTTTATATCAAAAACATTGTTTTCGCTGAGATTCATGGAAGGATGGCACAATGTTTATTTCTTCTTCTTCTTCTTCTTCTTCTTCTTCTTCTTCTTCTTCTTCTTCTTCTTCTTCTTCTTCTTCTTCTTCTTCTTCTTCTTCTTCCATTCAAGAACATTGTAGGCCCCCTCTGCTTTGTTTTTGTTACTTGTTTAATAGATTTAGATGGATCTAAAAAAAAAAAACCCCACCCCTTTAACCCAATATCCAGGAAATCTCTTCAAGAGAGGTGGGGAGGAACCTGTGACATTTTCCACAGTGATGCCAGAAGAGTCACCATCTCCTGGAGAATCTTATGGAGAAGGTATTAAATGCTTTCACTCAACCCAGCAATTTAACTGGAAGAAGAGAGGGGAGATCTCTCTTTTAGTTAGTTTGAGAACCTTGTGTTGTGCTTTAATGAAAAAATGTAGGTAGAAAAGAAGCTGCCCACCAGTGTATTAATTCTTTAGGATGTTTCTTTCTTTCTTTTTTCTTTTTAATGGTACAAATAAGCTACATCAGAAAGTGCCATTTGCTAGTGGACTGGACAGTTCCAGAAAAATAGGTTCTTTATCCCAATTCAGCCTTATCCTGCTGATGCCTAGATCTTCTCTAGAAGGTTGAAAGATTCAAGGGAGAAAATTTGGGGAATGTGAGAGATGCAGGCGGAAAAGGGAATCCCATGGGCATGTTTCTTAGATAGTTGTATCTGTAGTTAACAGAGTAAAACTGTGATATGTATCACCTTTCTACAGTGTGTGATCGTTTCTTCTTTCTGCAACTGAGAGGCAATGGAAAACTCAAACAAGAGTTGCCACAGTTGGGAGAGATGCTCTACTGCTTGACCAACCGATGTCCAGAGGAGTTTGAATTATATGGCTGCTATTGTGGCCAGGAAGGAAGAGGACATCCAACTGATGAACTGGACAGGTTACTTACATAAAAAACAAGCAAAGGAATCACATATGCTCCTAAAGCACCATGCACTTTGTTAATTTAAAAATTCTGTCCAGGCATGTGGGTCCTAAAGAAGTAGTGAAGGTAAAATAAAATGGAATAGAGAAAAAAAAATCTTCCCTCATTTCTGTCAGCCAGAGGTGTTGGGCAGGGCGTTGGATATGCATGTTCACTTGCCTTCCTCTGTCAGTGAAAGATCAGGCCACATTGCTCTGGAAATGCAACTAAGTCTGGATTCAATGCAAGGACTGTGTTCATACAATCCACTAAGTTACAGTTAGCTATCACTGCTTATTGAATAAGCTACCATTATCTGGGTTTACGGATACACCATAAAACATGGTTTACAAACTCCATGAGTTCACAAAAAATGCTAAGCTACAAACAACATATTGTGTGAACCATTGCAAGTCAAAGTAAATCTCTACCTTGCACTAAGTGCTCTTATGTTGGGATGGTGAGTTGCATCCTTCAGGAAAGATCTGGAAAAGAATTTTGCTTCCTGATTTGGCCACAGTGGTTTCAGATAGAGAAAGCTTCTTCAAAATCCTCCCTCCCTCCCTCCCTCCCTCCCTCC